CCGCCCCACCCCGCCCCCAGCGCCACAGGGGGCGGGGCGGGGCCTGGCACTGCCCCCGAGGGGCTCCTGTCCCGACGGCCGGCGGCTGTCCCCTTCTGCTGTGCCCGCACCTGGGCCACCCTGTGCCCAAAGCCTGCTACTTAGCAGCCAGGCCAGGAGCGAGAGTCCCAGGATGCCCAGAAAGCTACTACCGTGCTGCTGTCCCCCCGACCAGCTCCAGAAGGCTGTCTTCCGTTGCAACTGCCAGACTGCACCCCACCATGGCCACTGGCACGCAGCAGCAGTAGACAGCAGGATGTGGTGGCGCACTCCTGTCATTCCAGTACCCGGGAAGCTGAGGCAGGAGAAACACCTTGGGTGTGAGGGCAGCTTGGGCTACACAATGAGTTCAAGGCCTGCCTGAACTACATAGCAAGAACCTGTCTCCAAAAACACAAATAAAAAATAGCAGTGAACAGCAACTTGGTAGCTGCCCTACAGCCCAGCCCGGCTCCCCAGGCCTGCCTGCACACCAGGTCCCCAGGACATCACAGGCTCCCCCTTCATGGGTCACAGCCTGAGAGGCCTCAGAGCCTGGAGAGATGGCAGCTCGGCCTTCATCCTTCCAGGCCTGGTCAGGCGGTGGCCCACTTCCTTCTGCTCAGCCAGGGGAGGAGAGGGAGCAATGGCCGAGGTTCCTCATAGGTGGTTACTGCTTCCTGCTGCAGGAAGCTCTGCTCCTGCCGCCTCCCTGTAACCCGGGCAGTTTTGGGGCCTCCCTTTCCCAGGGTGCCACCCACTCCAGGCAAAGGGGCAACAACTTCTCCAGATGGCCTCGACAAGCCAGAGTAGACAGCTGTGTTTGGCTTGGTGGCAGGGAGAACCCTGGTCTGGTGCGCAGGACAGGAGCAAGGTAGCCAGGTACCACATGTGTCCAGGGAGGCAGGGGCACAGGCACACATAAACACAGGCGCAGAGGGTACATGTGGGCACCCTCTACCTCTGCCTGCAGGTCTGGAGGGAGGGGGCTCGGGAGGTACTGCTGGTCTAGGAGAAAACACGCTCCCTCAGCTGAACAGTCCCTGCCACCAGTGTCAAAGCCCTTCTCTAATAGGCTGCCTTTTGCCCACAGCTCTTGTTTGGGGCAGGGGACAGTGTCTCAGTGTGTAGTCCAGGCTGGACTTCAACTCCCTACCAAGGCCAAGCCAGCCTCAAACTTGGGATCCTCCTGACTCAGCCTCCCAAATGCTAAATATGTGTCACCACCTCACCTGGCTTTATTTTATTTATTTATTTATTTAGGTCTTTTTGAGACAGGGTCTCGCTATGCAGTTCAGGCTGGCCTTGTGCTTACTTTGTAGCCTAGGCTGGTCTCAAACTCACAAGGATCCTCCTGCCTCAGCCTCCCGAGTGCTGGGATTACAGGTGTGCGCCAGCACGCCTGGCCCCCTCACCTGGCTTTATTTTTTATTTATTTATTTATTTATTTCCAGTACCAGGGGTCGAACTCACGACCTTGTGCTTGCCAGGCAGGCACTGTGCCGCTGAGCTAAACCTCCAGCCCCCTCACCTGGCTTTAAATGTGACTTTGTTTTGTTTTGTTTTGTTTTGGGGGGGTACCAGGAAGCAAACTCAGGACCCTGCGCTTGCCAGGTAGGCACTTATGCCACTGAGCTATATCACTGGCCCTTTAAATGTACACAGAATTTTATTTGCAGTGCTGGAGCTGAAACCCAGGGGCCCAAGCATGCTGGGCAAGCTTTTTACCACAGCTACACCCACAGCTGCCCATAAGGTCCTGAAGGAAGGTCTAGGAGCTCCCCAGACCCTGGCCTTCAGACCCTGACCTGTGAAGCACCAGTGTTGGGGTCCTCCAGCTGAGGCCCCACATCCGGCTGCCTCCTATCCCCTCTCTGAGCCCTGATTGGTCCCCAAACGTCCCTCCTCCAGCAGAGCTGGGCCCTGGGCCCCAACTCACAGGAAATGGCCACCCACTGGCCTTCAAATGCTCTCCTCAGCCTCAGGTGCCCATTCAGCCCCTGCTGTGAAGTCCTGAGCGAAAGGCTGAGAACAAGGCCTCTGTCGGGGATAGCCCTGGCTTTTAGGACACTAGCTGGGCCTCTGGGCCTCTGAATGGAGCCGAACCTTATTACTTTTCTACCCTTTAGCCCCGCTGCGCCCCTTCCAAGATCCCAGACACCGGCTCTTTCAGGTGAAGACCAGATGTGCAGGACCTTTCTAAACCCGTTGAGGCCAGGCACGGTGGTGCACGACTGTCATTCCAGCACGCGGGAGGCTGAGGCAGGAGGATCGTTGCGTGCTTGAGACCAGCCTGGGCTACAGAGTAAGCTCAAGGCCAGCCTGGACTGCATAGTGAGACCCTGTTTCAAAAAGAAAAAAATAAAATAAAGTCGTTGAGGTGGGAGGGGAGGCGAAGGGGCCATAGAAAGAATGAAGATGTGTTATGTATATGTACCAACATCCCTAAATGAATGTAATCATTATATACTGCAAACTTGTGCCAACAAAATTTTGAAAAAAACTGCATACACATTTTAAAAACTATCCGCCAAAAATGAGGAAAAAAACAGAGAGAGAGAAAATCAACCGGTTGAAGAGTGAACCTGGCCCTGGGGATGATCACATGGCTGGCGGGTCGCGTTAGGGCCAGAGGGAGATGAGAGCGAGGCGACAGTGAGGCAGCTCATGTCACAGCTGTCCGAGGGACAAAAGGGCTGCCGCACCCCTCCTGTTTCCCCCGTCACGTTTCCAGGGTGCCTCAGGGGCCGGGCTGTGCCTCCAGAATGTGCACGGATTCCAGCCACACCGAGAGCACCAAGCAGAGGCCTGGGAGGTGGGTGCTGCGGACGGGGGAAGTGCTGGGCCCCAGGGCGAGGCAGGCCTGCGGTTTCCCCCTTCCCTTTCTCACCCATCCGCAGCTCCCACCCCCGCCCAGGAAACCTAACCGCCTCGGGGGCGGCCCACTGCGGAGCAGCTGCACGGACGCAGGGCGCGCAGAGCACAGAGCGAGCGGGCGGGCTGACGCGGAAGGCCGGCCCTTCCCGGCCGCCGTGAGTTCCGCCTACCAGCGATAGGGCGCGGCCGACGCAGCGCGCAAGCCCACCCACCCAGCTGAGCGGAGTTCGGCCCCGGCGCGGCCGTACCAATCAGAGCCTGGGAACTAGGCGCGCCGCGGCCTGCGCGAACCGGAAGGAACCGGCGGTGCGCCGGACGAACAGAAAGGGAAGCTCGTGACTGTAGCCAATCAGAACGCAGCTTCACTCGAAGCAGCCAACCGGAGAGGACCCTCGCGCAGGCGCATCTCCCCCGCCCTGCCCTTCGCACGCTGGTCTTGGCCTCCCCGGGGCATGCGCGTCAGGTACCCGGCGCCAGCCAGAAAGCCGAGCCCGATGGGAGACCGGGAAAGCTGCGGGCTGCCCGCGGCAGCAGAGCCCCAGGGAAGGGCGATGGCTCGGGCACCCGCACTTACGATGCCGCTGCCGGAGAAAAGGGCGAGGAGGAAGGGGGCAGGGCGACTGCTAGGATGAGGGTGGGGTCAAGAAAAGCTGGACTTAGGTCTTTCTCCTTCCAGACAGGTGACAGGCAGGAGACCGCGGGGGACACGACTGTGCCTTGATCAGAACCCAGAGGGACGGTGGGACATGCCCAGGCAGAGTGGTGACTCAATGGGACTGGAAAGTTCGAAACAAATTTAGAAGGGCTGCGCATTTGAGCCCAGACCCCGGTACCCGAGCGGGACACTAATGCAGACCAGGGGCCTCAGTGCACACAGCCAGAACTGCACAGCAGCAATCACAGGGACCCCAGCCACCAGACAATGTTAGTAATGGGCCAGTGTGATGGCGCTCGCCTGTCACCCTTGCCCTAGGGAGGCTGAGGCACTGAGTTCAAGGCCAGCCTGAGCTACAAAGCGATCAATTTTTTTTTTTTTTTTGGAGGGGGGACAGGGTCTCAATATGTAGGCCGGGCTAGCCTGGAACTTGCAACAATCCTCCTGCCTCAGCCTCCCCAGTGCTGGGATGACAGGCCCACCACGCCTGGCTCTGCAACCAACCAACTAATAATAATAGGGGTATACAAAGTGAGCTCAAGGCCAGCCTGCATTGCATAACAAGAGCTTGTCTCAAAAAAAAAAAAAAATAGGGGTAAGGATGATGGGGAGGAAGGAGTTCCTAGTATCCCATTCATTTCTCTAAATCTAACTAGACTGAAGTCCATGAGTTCTCTCCAAGCGAGCGGCTAGGCCAAGAGTGACCTAAGAAGCCAGGGCCTGAACACCAGGCTGGCTGAGGGCTGGACCGGTGGAGGACGGGAGATCGAACATGGCAGTGGCGGCGGTGGTGAAGGCAGCAGCGCACACATTCCCCAAGGCCACAGGCTGAGCTTTATTGGGACAGCTCACAGGCTGAGGCCGGGATGCAGGCTCTAGGAGGCCGAGTCGGAGGCCTCTGAGCTGTCCTTGACATCAGTGCTCTCTGTGGTCTCGCTGACCTCACTGAGGTCCTTGCTGTCCCCGCCACTGTCTTCGGCAGCTAGGGTCTTCTCCTCTCGGCAGGCCTCACCTGGGCCCAGCAGTGGAGCACCTTTGCCCTCCGCCTTGTTCTCGATGGCACCCAGCACGACGTGCCTGCTCTTGTCCTTTAGCTCCAGGTGCCGCCTCAGCTGATGCAGGGACAAAGGGACAGGGCCTAAGTCTCCAGGCAATGGTGAGGCAGCCAGCCAGGCAGGAATAGACTGTTGCACCCTAGCTCTGCCTGTCCGTAGGCCCAAAGCAGACCGCCTCGACTGTCCCCAGAGCCACCCGCTTGCCCCTCAGCTCCTGCCAAAGGGTAGGCTCTTGGCAGCGGGCTCCCGGACCCAAGCCCTCTCTGTTCTTTCTTTTCTTGGTCTTTTTTGAGATAGGGTCTCACTGTTTTTTTCAGGCTGGCTGTGACTCACTATGTAGCCCAAGCTGGCCTCAAACTCGCAGCGATCCTCCTGCCTCAGCTTCCTGAGGGCTTTGCGATGACAGGTGTGCCCCACCATAGCCAGCTTCCAATGTTCTCTAAGGCAGGCCAGGGCAGCCTTCCCCAGGTTGCTGAGTCAGCCCCAGCCACCAGAGGCAGCCCTGCTCCGGGCCCTCCAGGCTCCTACCTCCTCGGCCATCTGAGTGAGGTCCCGCTTCATTGCATAGGCATCTTCCCCATCTGCGTAGTACTTGGGCTCCACCTCGCTGATCCTGGGGCAGGAAGAGGAGCCAAGCCTGGGGAACTGTTCCTTTCCCAGCAGCCCCATCTCAGGCAGAGCCAGTGCCTGGCCGCCCATCCCATCCCCAGCCTGGCTGCCACCTGGCCGTTGCCTGGCTCCCCTTGCCCTCCCTGCCCTGCCTCCTGTCACCAAGCACACAGCTATCCTCTGAGGCGCCTACACTGGCAGGTGTGAGCACACTGGACTCAGCCTAACGCCTGGGTACGTAGCACAAAGCACTTCCCAGCAGAAGCATTTTGGGATTGTCTGGCAGTACTGGGATTAAACCCAGGGCCTTTGCACTGAGCTACATCCCCAGCCTCGTTGTGTTTTGTTTTAATTTCTTTTTTTTTTTGGTACTGGGAATCGAACTCAGGACCTTGCACTTGCTAGGCAGGCGCTTGTGCCACTAAGCTACATCCCCAGCCCTTGTTTAATTTTTGAGACAGGGTCCCACTAAGTAACTAAGTTGCCCAGGCTGGACTCAAACTTACAATCCTCCTGCCTCAGCCTCCAAGACCTAGGATTATAGGCATGCACCACCATGGCTGACTTCAGAGGCATTCTTTTTTTGTTTTATTTTGGCTTTGGTGTTTTAAGATAGGGTCTCATTATGTAGCACAGGCTGGCCTTGAACTCAAGCCCAGCGATCCTCCTGTCTCAGCCTCTCAAGTGCTGCAATCATAGGCGTGCACCACCACACCCGGCCTTCAGAGGCATTCTTAACCCAGCCAAAGGCCCCTCCCTTATCAGGATATTAAACTCAGCTAGAAGCTGCCAGCCTGCTCAACAGTCCTTCTCTGTGCCCTCCCCGCTACTAGCCCAAAGCCAAGTGTCTTGAGGACCCCTGCAACCCTGAGGACCTGAGATGGAGCAGACCTGGGCCTGTCTACCTGGACTCCCAGGGATCTGGGCCCCTGCTGCTCTTGCTCCCAGCCCTTTCTGCCTGCATTCTCCTGCCTTCCTTTGTACTTATTTAGTTTTTTTTTTTTTTTGTCTTTTTGAGACAGGGTCTCCCTATGCAGTTCAGGCTGGCCTTGAACTCACTTTGTAGCCCAGGCTGGTCTCAGAATTGCAAAGATCTTCCTGCCTCAGCCTCCCGAGTGCTGGGATGACAGGCGTGCGTCACCATGCCCGGCTTAGTTTTTTGAGACAGGGTCTCACTACGTAGTTCATGCTGGCTTCCAACTCACTATGGGGCCGAGGCTGGCTTGAAACTCAAGAGATCCTCTGTTTCAGCCTCCTGTGTGCTGGGACGACAGGTGTGCCCCACCAAGCCAGGGCTGCATGGCGTTTCTCCCACTGGCACCTGCTCGGCCCCGCCCCCAGCTCCAAAACACACACACACACACACACACACACACACACACACACACACACCTCTACTTACTGAAAATTGAGGGTGTTGGAGTAGAGGTGCAGGGCGGCCCGGTTACTGCAGGGAAGAAGGCGCTGCTAAGCTGCACAGGCGCAGCCAGGGCAGCCCCCTCCCATCACCACGCCTCCTGGCTCCCCCAGCCTGGCCTCACCTCTTCCTGACGTGCAGGGAGACATACTTGGCGTTGAAGTTCTCGATCATGGCACGCGAGGCCTGGTCCATGAGCTTCTGGGCCAGGCCCAGGCGCCTGTGGGAGCGCTTCACAGCCTGGAGGGAAGAGTGGCGGTACAGTGGGTCCAGGGCGCACCGGCCTCCCCACTCCCACCCTTCCAGTGGCCAGGGTGCCTCACTCACCAGTGAGGTGATATGTCCATGGGGAACATCGTCCGGGTCCTCCTCCCTGAGTGAGGAAGAAGGCAGGTACAAAGGTAAGGGCTGCAGGCACGGCCACCCTCCAGGACCTGTGCTGCCCCAGAACCAGACCCCAAACCCCTCCCAGCAGCCACAGATATGTGCAGTGTCCACAAACAGAATATTGCTCCATGATTCAAAATAAATTAACCCTTGGGAGACTGAGGCAGGAGGATCACCACTAGTTCCAGGCCAGCCTGGGCTACACAGCAAGACCCTGTCTCAAAAAAAGCAATAATAAAATAATAAAAAGAATTTTTATTTATTTTCTTTAAATATCACGTGGGCTTTTTTTGTTTTTTTGTTTTGTTTTTGGTCTTTTTGAGACAGGGTTTCACTATGCAGTTCAGGCTGGCCTTGAGCTCACTTTGTAGCCCAGGCTGGTCTCAAACACGCAACGATCTTCTTGCCTCAGCCTCCTGAGTGCTGGGATTACAGGCATGCGCCACCATGCCCAGCAAAAATATAAAAATAATTCTTCAAAAGCAGTAATAAGCTGTCAAGCCACAAAACGACAGGGGGCGACCTTAAACACACACTGCTAGGTAGAAACGGCCACAGAAGCCAGGCGTGGTGGCACAGGCTTATAATCCCAGCACTTGGGAGGCTAAGGGAGGAGGATCGTTGCAAGTTCGAGAAAAGCCTGGTCTACAAAGTGAGCTCAAGGCCAGCCTGAACTGCATAGTGAGACCCTGTCTCAAAAAAGACTAAAAAAAAAGAAAGAGGGCCGGGGGTATAGCTCAGCGGTTTAAGCGCTTGCCTTGCAAGCCTAAGGTCATGAGTTCGATTCTTGGTACCAAAAAAAAAAAAAGAAAGAAAGAAAGAAAAAGCCACAGAGTACCATCCTCCGCACAACTCTGGGGGGAGACCAAGCTGTGGACCCGCACGGGACTGTGGCTGTCAGGATGAGTAGGGAGGGCAAGTGACAGGCAGCACAGTGGTGCTGTTCCGTGGGACACAGAAGGTGTCCAGACCCGGGGGGGAATGGGGAAACTGGATAATGCAGGGACAGTGACAGCCATTGGTGGCAGGACCAGCTAGACTGCCACACCTGGAGGAGAGCGCTTGCAGTTCCCACTGCAGCGCTGAGAGCCTGGGGTGACTCCAGGTGACACGGTCCCAGGGAGAACTACAGTAGGGTAAGCTCAGGGCCTGGAGAACGAAGTCTCACTGCTGGGTCCCCACCTTTGCCAAAGGCGTCATCTGACATAACATGTTGATGCCACAGCAAATGGAAGGAAGGGCTTATGTGAAAATTCTTGGCGCCCTCTGCTCAATTTCTCTGTAAACTTTAAACTGTCCTCAAGGCAATCCTCCTGCCTCAGCCTCCTGAGCACTGGGATGACAGGTGGGATGCCACCACTCCCGGCTGGCTTAGTATTTCCAAAAATCCACAGCAGCCCTCCCCAGACACGATGACGTTGGATTCGCCCCTAGACCCAGCCCTAGGCTTGTCCCTTCCTCCTCGATGACTCACATTTTGGCCAGGACATACCCCACAATCTTCCCGTTCTCATCCTCAGCAATGTAGGACAGCTGGTAGCAGAGAGGAAAGGAAGTCAGGGAAGGCTACATCGCCACTCAGGACCCCACCACCCACGTATGCCGTGTGCCCTGCTCCTGACAGCCGGAAGCTGATCAAGCGGCACGAGCTGTGTGACAACCTGTGCAAGGGCCCTGTCCTTGCAGAGCCCTGGGCCCATTGGCGGAAGCCCACCCCGGCCCGGCAAGCGCGCACCTGCGGCCAGGAGAGGCCGTGGTAGAAGTAGTACTTCATCTGGTAGTTCTCGGGCAAGCAGAGCAGGTTGCAGTGCTGCATGTTCATCAGGTCCTCGGGCTGCGGAGAGGCGCGGGGAGCGGCCGATGAGACGCCGTGCCCGGGGCGCCCGGGCTGGGGGCCTCGCTCCGCCCCAGGCCCGGCCCGCAGCCGCCTTGCGGTGCGGCGCTTCCCTAAGCCCACTCCGCGGGGCCCTGTCATCTCGCGGACTCCACAGATCGGCTGCCCCCCGGCCCCGTGGGCCCCCCGAGAGCATGCGCACGCGGCCACCCGCCGGCGCCCACGCGGCGCGGACAGCCTCCCGGCCTAGGCCCTTACCCTCGCATTGCGGATGTTCATCACGGCGGCGGGATCGCGGGTCCCAGGGGGCGTGATCGCGCAGTCCGCGGCCGCTGCGCTCCTAAGCGACACCCGAGCGGCCGGGGTCGGGGCCTCAGACGGGATCGCGGGGGCGGCGGCGGAAGAGGCGGCGCGCGGCTAAGCGGCCACCCGACGGAAGTGCGCGGCCACCAGACCCGCCTCCCGGCCTCTCGGCCCCTGCGCGGAGTGGCCCGGTGTGCGGGGCGGAGCGAACGGGAGCCAATGAGCGGGGCGAACGCCAGGCGAGGCGCTGGCCAGCGAGAGAGGACCCGAGGGCTGCGGGACGCGGCGCCGCGCGGTGACCGTTTCCCCGCCCCGGCCCCCGGGCCCCAGACGCGTGCACACGGGCAGGTGCACCAGGCCGAGCTTTATTCCGCGCCGCGGAGGGTGGGGGTGAGGGTAGG